GGGACGGAGGGAGTAGCTTGCGTTGGTCTGCTAGTACTAGGATCTGCCCAACAGGGAACGTAAGCCTAGTTTGCTCGGTGACGCAAGCCCCAGTAGCCTTTGTATTGATTGTACAAGTAGTACAGGAGTATACGGAGTACTCCTATATACTAGCACTACTTCTACAGTAGCAGTATTGGTAGTCTAGGAGTTAGATCAATACAAGTGATTAGTTTGCTACTACTCCTAGATGATATGACATGTAATAGTCCTTCAAAGGGGAAAAAAATGCATGTTTACTGGCCACTTTTAAGATGATAAATTTAAAGTTTAGAACTTAATTTTGAAGTTTCATGACTTAGCTTTAACATTTGGACCACTAAAAAGGGTGTAAAGTTTTTGCCTAAATATTACTACCATATATGTTTAGCTGTTTTGGTCACATGTCTTCTATTAAAAAAAATTCGAGGTCTTGATAATTTAAGTTTGAAGGGGATAATTAATACTTACCGAGCATGCATGTATGCATCCTTGATCCTACTAGGAATGGCTGAGGACAACTTTTGTGCTTGGGAGCTTAAGATGCAATGAGCCAATAACATGGCATCCCCATGAAGAGGCACGATCACGAATTGTGGATCTACAGCAATAGCCTCGCTAAATAATTGCTGCATACTTGAGAACCAACACCTTATGCAATCCCAGAAAGTGCTCGTCACACACCACCCAACAAGCGAGTCAGCCAGCATCCCCAAGGGAAAGGAAAGGGCAAGTTCAGTGGAGATGTCCCGTTAACCCGTCCAAAACCACAACTATCTCGTAGACTCGATCGCTTTGCAAACCTGATCTGTGCTCGGGGCATCTTCCGTTTCCTCTCCCTCCTGGTGTCCCTTTCCTTGCCTTCCCGAACATGAACATGATTTGATAATGCAGTGGCATTGGTTGGCGTCGGCTCTTCGTGGTTGATCTAGAAAACCAAGAAAAAATGCGATGAAAAAACACCTAAAAAATTTAAAATAAAGTTTGAAAATTTAAAATTTTGCTGCGGTTTATAAGCCAATAAGCAACAAACGAATCAACGATAACACTTTTTATATCTCTCTCGATTTTTCCTTCTTTCTTTTTTCTTCGGTTTTGCTATTTCACTTACGATAGACTTTTAGGTTTTTATATTTCGTATGATGCACTTACACTTACACTTAATTACTCCTACATAGCAATTACGCTTAGTTACAGCACATTTACACTCAGTTAAAAGTGCATCAAAACTAGAATTTTACAAATGTTTTTCTCTTAATTTATGGATTTTTTTTTCCTTTTGGGGGTGTGTGTTGAACCACATGCACCGCCTACTGCGTGCTTGGGCAGGCACGCCATTGATCAGTGTGGTTGTCTTTGAGAAAAAGAAGAGGGGGGATGGGGGAAAACCGAAAAGAAAACGCTCTCAAATCGATCAGTGGTGGCTGATGGGTCGATGCCGTGCGTGCGTGCGTGCGTGCGTGCGTGCGTGCAACTGGAGTATGTGTAGTATGGTGGTGGTGCGGTGGGGGCGGCGTGGTGATCGATCGGCCAACTTTTGGCCAGGTGCGCGGCGCAGTGGGGGGAAGCGGCACCGCGGGCTGCAGGCACACACAGGCTTTGGCTGCTGCGAGTGTGAGACCCCAACATGGCAACGCATCGCATGCATGGGTGCATGGGCCTCCTCTCGCCTGCGCTGCGCCACTGCGCCCACTGCTGCTGCTTGGCTTGCCTGGGGGAGGAGAGGACTTGCCTTGGCTTCGCCTTGGCTTGAGTTTTGGGATTAGCGCTACCTCCGTCATATCGTAGATGTCGCTTTGACTTTTTAATTGTAACGTTTGACCATTCGTCTTATTTAAAAAATTAGTGTAAATATAAAAAATGATAAATCATACTTAGAATACTTTTTATAATAAAGTAAGTCACAAATAAAATAAATAATAATTTTAAAATATTTTTAATAAGACAAATGATCAAAATTTATAAATAAAAATTCAAAGCGACGAGTATCATGAGACGGAGTAAGTAGAAAGCAAAAGTAGCCACCCACCAATCCACCATCACTATAAACCCGCCCTCTGAGATCTGCTCCCTCGTCTGCACCGCAATGCAGTCCATCCAATGACGCACTGCGTTTGCAACTTGCAAGTCGCAACTACATGCTGGTCCTTGTAGAGAGAGAAGGAGAGATGGAAATGGTGGCTAAAGAACAAATCATTTACCTCTCAAAAAGAAAGAACAAATCAATTTTTTTTTCATATCACTACTACTATAGTAGAAGTAGTACAACTCTATACATGGATGATGGATCGTCCAAGCTTTGGATTCCAGGGCACCGTCGGATGTGCCCCGAGCACATACTATCAGCGGACCAAATGTTGTACCAACGTGATCGAGGTGTGGGTCACCCGCTGGCGTGGCGGCGATCGGCTTCCGCTTGCCGCTTGCGCTGTGCGTGCGCGTAGCCGGGCCGAGGGGCACCACCACCATTGTTGCGGTCGAGAGTCCTTGGTGGTAATAATGGTGGCCGGAGAGGACCAGAGAGAGATGTTGCACTGCATCCCCTCTGGCCCCCTGCATCGTGAGATGACAATGCAATGCCAATGCCATTGCCGCCAAGTACTACTGCTACTGCTGCTGCTGCTGCTGCTGCTGCTGCTACCGGGGTCCCCCACCCAGCCAGCCTGCAGCCTGCCCCTGCTTCCGTGTTGCATTGCCTTCTCCTATGTGGATGGGAGATGAAATTATTCCCATGGCTCCCTTTTTCCGATTTACTCGATATAGAGAAATTTACTTAGGGTGTGTTTAGTTCACATTAAAATTAGAAGTTTGGGCCGTGTTTAGTTTCTCCCTATTCTCAACTTTCTATCACATCATATCACATCAAAAACTTTCCTACATACATAAACTTCTAACTTTTTTTTTAAACTCCCAACTTTCTTCAAACTTTTAACTTTTTTCATGAACTAAACACACCCTTGGTTTAAATTGGAACAATGTGACGGAAAAGTTGAAAGTTTATGTGCGTAGGAAAGTTTTGATGTGATGGAAAAGTTAGAAGTTTGAAGAAAAACTTTGGATCTAAACTTGGCCTTAGGCCTTGTTTAGTTGGGAAAAAAATTTAGGTTTGATTGTCACATTAGATATACGAACACACATTTGAAGTATTAAACGTAGTCTAATAACAAAATAAATTACAGAATTCGTCAGAAAACTGCGAGAAGAATTTATTAAGTCTAATTAATCCATCACTAGCAAATGTTTACTGTAGCACTACATTATTAAATCATGGCGCAATTAGGCTTAATCGATTCATCTCGTAATTTACACGTGAACTGTGTAATTGTTTTTTTTTCTACATTTAGTACTTAATGCATGTACCTGAACATTCGATGTGATGGGTGGAATTTTTTTTCTTTTGGGAAGTAAACAGGGCCTTACACGATCGACTAGCTCGAAGCCTCGAAGGCGAAACCCCACGCTGTCAGTGTTTAGTGCGTGTTATTGCCTCTGTTTGGCTTACTGCACGCTGTGTTCTGGTTGATTTTTATGAGGTGCGACCACCACCATCTTGTACAACTAGGAGTTTGTGTGTAAACCGATGGATTCAGACTACGTGGGGGCAAGTACAGTCTGTACAGATTGCAGAGGTGAAAAAGAGGAGAGAGGAGCGAGAGTCTGCACTGCTTAAGTTTTATGGGACAGGAGAGAAGAGCTTTGGCTAAATAGGCTCCACAGTGCTGGATCGAGATCTAATAACTTTACAGGCCTAATCCACTCCACGTAGGTAAGGATGCCCGTTGCTAAGATTAAGATTTAGCGGTCCAACCAAGCACATATATATAGTTATCAAAAAAAGCAACCATATATACGTACACTACACAAGTGAAGAAGTGTCGTGTGATACTCGAAACAGCAGGGCAGCAGGCTACAGCGAGCAGCTGTAGTCGTACGACCAGCATTGGTCAGGTGTTGCTGTTGTTGAGCTTATCTGCATCTGCTTGTAGTTCCCGTTTTTTGGCCCAACCAGTGGAAAATACCAAGAGAAGAGAATGCGAATAGGCTTATTTTGGGCCGAGCCGCTCGCGTGAGAATAGGCCGAAAGGCCGCCAGCCAGCCACGCGGGCTTTGCCGTTCGGATTCGTCCGGCTCTATCTCCTCTCCCCCTCTTTACGCCGCCTACGCCGAGGGCTTGCCTTTGCCTGTGATGTGCTCGGGTTCAACTTGAGGGAGCGAGGCCGGAAGAAACCATTAACCATGGAGCCGCGCGCGCGACGGGCGGCCTCGCCGGCTAATCCCCTGCACGCGCCGTCGATTCACGGGTGGTGGTTGATCTGGTACGCTGTACCACGCCGTTCTCTGCTCCTTCCGTGTTTTTCCTCTGCACTGTAGAACGGTCGACAATTTTGTGCATGAGCAAAGGAGAGGCCTATCCAGAATAGGTCATAGCTTTTTTTAAAAAAAGAAAAAAAAAGGCTTGGGTACTACAAGTTCCCTTCTAAACTTCTACTCGCTTCAAAAATATTTTTTTTAAAAAAAAACCTATAGGAAAATTGTTTCAAAAATCAAATTAATCCATTTTTCAAATTTATTTTAGCTATAATACTTATTTATTCCTGTTCTAATAAGTATCCTGTTTTACCTACACGAAAAAGAGTTCCCAACCTAAATCTTTCGAACAAATATGAGAGAACAGCATGCAACGTGGAAGAAATCACCCCTGCCAAAGCACTGCAGTGCCAGTACTGAATGCTGGCAAGGTCAAACCATCAGCCAAATGAAGACAATGGAGCTACTACAAGATCATAAAAGATAAAACCATACAGCAATTTACCAGTATAGGCTGAATGAATTCCAGAACAATGTAACTGGCCATACCATCTGTATCTGACTCTGATATGGCGGTGCTCGCATTCTGCAGCGCTGCATAAGACCTTGATTTCTCATATTTTACATGCAGTGAGAAGGATCAGATGTGAAAAATGGAAAATGGACATATAAGATAGCACTAGCTGGAGCAAATCACTGAAAACAAATGCCCCACAAAAGTTCATTCATACCATAGCAGTAGCTGAAATTACAGAACATACAATAAATCTGTAGAAAAGCCGGTTATGTAACTGCTAGGGTGTTATCCTGAGGGTTTAAACCTACAATGCATTTTTTACATTGTGGTGATCTTGCAACCACCTTATGAAGAAAGGAAAGAGGATGATATGAACTATTACTTGAAGGGTGGCATGAGAAGGAAATTGAACTCTTGGCATTTCACGCTATGTAAATATTATTTACAGAACTAATCATCTTAAGAAACTATCAGGATGGATCTTGATCGATCAAACTGAAACCATTTAAGAACTTGACTGAACCTTAACCTTCAGCGATATGGTCAAGCCATTCGACTAGCTGCTGCGATGTTGGTCTTGACTTAGGAGCAGCAGTCACACAAAGCAGTGCTATCTCCAGGATTCTGATCAACTGGCTTTCATTCTCCTTGTCATATATGGTTGGATCAAATACTTCAGTTTCCCTGTCTTCCTTCTTCATCTGAAGCACCCAGGACACTACATCTCTGCTCCCTTTTGGCCTGCACATGTCCACAGGCCGCCGCCCAGTGAGTAGCTCCAGAAGAACAATTCCAAAGCTGTACACATCACCCTTGTAAGTAGCCACAGGTGACTGCCCATATTCAGGTGGAATGTAGCCCAAGGTTCCCACTACATCTGTTGTGACATGCGTCTCGTATGCGCATATGAGCCTTGCCAACCCGAAATCAGCCAAATGAGCTTCAAAGTTCTCATCCAAGAGGATATTGCTTGACTTGATATCTCGGTGCAATATATGGGGCTCACACGACAGGTGCAAGTATGCCAGCCCCCTTGCCGATCCCTGTGCAATCCGTAGCCTCTTCTGCCAATCCAGCAGGGCACCACCATCAGCCCTCTCATGAAGCCAGTAATCCAAGCTGCCATTCTCCATGTATGCATAGATCAGTAGTCTGTCATTGCCTATCTTGCAATAGCCTTCTAGCAGAACAAGGTTGTCATGCTGGGCACGTGATAGTGTTTCCACTTCAGCTTGAAACTCCCGCTCAATCTGAGAGTAATCGCCTGAAAGCCGCTTGATTGCAACTCTCCTCCCATCTGGTAGTGTTGACTTGTAAACAAGTCCAAAACCACCACAACCAACTATATAGGCTTGATCAAAGTTGTTGGTTGACTTCAATATATCTTCAATACCAAGATCCTTGTTGTTCTGGAAAAGCAGCACCAAGCTTGAGTTCGGAGACTCTGAGCAGTCATCAGCATTCGCTACTGCCTTTGGATTATGCTCCTGCATTCTTGAATGAATAATCCTTGATATAACCACAGAAGCAATACACAAGACAAAAATAACCCCCACTGCAGTACCAAGTCCAAGGGCCACAAGGGTTGCTTTGTTCTTCTTACGATGTGGTGCTTCCGTATCAGGAGAATTCTTTGTGCTGGAGGAATTCCGAGGAAAGTGTAGTGCGTGATTGCCTGCAAAATCCTCACTAGTGAACGTGGAGAATTGGCCTCCTGCCGGGATATCTCCAGACAAATTGTTGTACGAAACATCAAACTTGGACAGAAAGTTCAGCTTCGTTAGAGATGATGGTATGCTCCCACTGAGATCATTGTGGGCTAAATCCAATATTTCCAAGCTCGACATATTTGATAACTCATCAGGAATTGGCCCAGAAAAATTGTTAAAGCTCAAGTCCAGCACATGAAGCTTCACTAGACGGCCAAAGGCTGGCAATATTGGCCCAACAAGCTTGTTATTTGAGAGGATCAGTGATGACGGGAAGCTACTGAGTTGGTTGTACTGCAAGCCTTTACCAGTGGAAGTCGAATTCTTCTTGACGAATAATGGGAGGTCTCCTGTTGACGCCTGCCCACTTGAGCCATTACTTGAAATTAAACTCTTCATCTGTGTAAAGGTTGCAGGAAGCTCCCCACTGAATGAGTTGTTGGACAGATCGATGTAGAAAAGACTGTCGAGGTTGCCTAACCATGGCGGGATCTCCCCATGCAAATTGTTCCATGAAATATCCAGCACACTGAGGCTCTTCAAGCTCTGCAGCCAAGGTGGAACCGTGCCCAAGAGTGCACAGTTCGCCAGGACAAGAACCTGCATTCTCTTGAACCCTTCGATGCCGTCCATTGGCATGGTTTCACCACCACGGAAGTTATTGGTGAGCACCAAGCTAGTTAAGTTGGGCAGGTGCTGCAAGACTTGCAATGCTGATGACAAGTTGGTAAAACCATTCCCCGTAAGAGAAAGGTATGACAGTGATGTCAAATTCTTGAAGCTCTCCGGTAGCTCCCCCTGAAGCTTGTTCCTTGCAAGGTTCAGCGTCCTCAACTCAGTGCACGAGGCAAGGCGAGGCGGTATAGCACCACGCAGCTTGTTGGTCCCAGCATCAAAGTTGTTCAGCCTCGTGAGCAATCTGCAGTCAATGGTAATCTCACCGGACAGCGAATTGTTCCTCAGGCTGACCACTCTAAGCATCGGGCAGCTCGACAGGGATAGAGGCAATGTGCCATTCAATTGGTTGGAAGCCAAGTTTAAGGACTCCAAGCTCCTCAATTTCCCAAACACATCAGGGATATTGCCATTGAACATGTTATATGACAAGTCAATCTGCGTAATCTCAGTGAGGTTACCGAGGTCGTCGTCGAGGCTGCCGGAGAGCTTATTCTCCTGCAAACTTAGTTTTCTCAGCGCTGGCATCATGTACAGATCTTTGGGGAGGCTCCCAGTAAGGCCATTGCCATCAAGGAAGAGGTCGTTGAGCAGCTTGCACTGACCAAAGCCGGCCGGCACATCACCAGAGAAGGCATTCGCCGAGAACCGCAGGACCTTGACCGGCGAAGCGCAGAGCGCGGTGACGTTGATGCCGCCGGAGAAGGCGTTGCCGGTGATATCAAGAACCGTCAGGTTCGGCGCGCCGGGGAACGCGGGGTGCGGCCCGGTGAACCCGTTGGAGGAGACGTTCACCACCTCGATCGCCGGGAAGCCGCCCGCCGGGAACGCGCCGGCGAGGCCGTTCGCGCTGAGGTCGAGGCGCCGCAGGCTCGGCAGCCGGCCGAGCCGCGCCACCGCCTCGCCGCCGCGAAGCGAGTTCCGGGAGAGGCTCCGGTTGGAGAGATCCAGCGCCACCACCCTCCCGAGATCACAGGACACGCCCGTCCACGAGCAGCAGGCGGCGTCGCCGGGGCCCCACCCGACCATCCCGGCGGCCTTCGTGTCCAGGCCATCGGAGAAGGCCAGGAGCGCCGCCAGGTCGGTGGGGTCGCACGTCTGGCTCTCGGAGCGGCCGCCATGGACGTGGAGCAGAACGGACACCACCAAGAAATGGAAGAAGCAGTAGTAACCTCTCATCTCCGCCGTCGACGGAATCAGAAAATGAACCCCTTCTTCCTGCAGGGCATGAACAACTTCAAGAATCCAGGAAAACAACTCACACCACCTTGCAACGAGGCAGCATGAATCTAATCACCAAGAACGAACACGCTCGCAAGAGTCAAGACTCCTCCTCTGGGCAAGAAATCCAGGAGCGCAAGAACGGGAAATTCCCTCTCATTCCGTCCGCCACATGAGCTGGATCGCAAGATTGTGAGGCGCCGAAAGAGGAGGATGGCATCACAGGAGGAAGAAGAAGAAGAGGAGGAGAGTGGGGGAAAGTCAGAGGAGAGAAAGAGACGGTTGGTTTTGACTCCAATGCGGCTCTCATCAGCAGCCGTTCTTCTTCCTCCCAACCTCTTCACCAGATTTGTTTATTCATTCATCGCAAACTTAAAAAAAATCAATTTCCTCTCTCTCTCTCTCTAAAGCTTTCTCGTGTCCTCTTTTCTCTCACTCGCAGACTCGCTCACTGGTAGGCCGCACCAGTGCTAGTTGCGCATTTGATATGGTGACGCAAAGCAAAGGCGGGGGAAATTTAATAAGCGGCGCGTATTTTAGTGGAGAAAATGGGTGAGGAAAATAAATGCCGGGTACTTCGTGGGCTGCTTGGACTTTGAAGAGAGATAGACTGAGGGGGTGTTAGGCCAGTCACAATGGGGGTTTCACTGGTGTGTCATGCACATTTAATAGGGGTAAGACTGAATAAAAAATGATTATTTGCATGAAATGGGGATGAGAGAGAAGGAAAGAGTTTCATCCTGGTGAAACTCGTCAGCGTCGTTTCCAAGTCCTCGGTAACAGAGTGAAACCCCCGTTGAGGCCGATTCGTTTCATTCACCGGATCTCTTGCGTCCGCCTCCGCCGTGCGACCTCCGCATTCTCCCGCGCCGCGCCGGATTTTGGGTACAAATGATCCCAGCAACTTGTATCAATTAAATGCTTTGCTTAGTCTTGGAAACGTCAAAGTGAAACCCCTCCACTGTGGGGATTGTTTCATAAAAGATTTCATTTGAGAGAAGATGGTATAATATTTTGGGTAGCCGTGCAATGACACTAGCCATTGTGACTGGCCTTACATCGAAACGTTTCAACACCAGTATAAAATATTAAATATAGGTTAAAAAATAACTAGTTGTATAAAATACGACTAATTTATGAGACGAATATTTTAAGTCTACTTGCTTCATGTCAACACCCGTATAAAATATTAAATATAGGTTAAAAAATAACTAGTTGTACAGAATGCGACTAATTTACGAGACGAATATTTTAAGTCTACTTGTTTCATGTTTTGACAATTTTACTAATGATGGATTAATTATGTTTAATAAATTTATCTCATGGTTTACTGACGAATTATGTAATTGGTTTTCTTTGTAGTGTATGAACTCCCCATATAACACCTTATATAATACCTTATATGACACGTTAAACTTTACACCTTGATCTAAACACCCTCTCTTGGGCCGTGTTTAGATCCAAACTTCCAACTTTTTCCATCACGTTAATCTATCATACATAACTTTTTAGTCACATCGTATCAATTTTAATCCAAACTAGTAACTTTGGAAGTACCTAAACACACTCTTGAAGAATAAGAGAAAGAGAAAGGGGCAGGTCAGAGTCAAGTCGATGGCGACTGCAACGGGTGGAGCAATTGGTGGACGGGTTACTGTTACCACTAAGCTACGAGTAACGACGGGTCTGCGCTGCAACATCAATGCGTGGATGGATGGATCCGATGCTGCTGCTGGTGGTGGTAGAACTGTGGAGACAGTAGAGGATTATTTTTCCCCGATCATTTCACACATATTAATACATAGTAATAAAAAGACTACAATATATGTATTTTGGCCTGGTTTAGTTCCCAATTATTTCTTCAAACTTTCAATTTTTCCATTACATCAAAACTTTCTTACAAACACAAACTTTCAACTTTTCCGTCACATCGTTCCAATTTCAATCAAATTTCTAATTTTGACGTGAACTCAACACACTCTTTATCAAATTATATTGTAACTATTCTTTATTTATCTATTTTCAATGTAATTATTCTCTGTTTTCATAGACTCCAATGTAATAACTATTTAAAAATAAACTTATTTTTGGATAAATGGGAGAAAAATGAATTTACTATGAAGCGATGAACTAAGTGGTAGTAACTGTTCACTTGCTCAGTATTAATATGAGCTTTTGCTTACGCTGGGAGAACCAAGAACAGTGGAGTATAATGTCCATCTTTTTTTTTTAAGAAAATGTCATGATACAAATTCCTGTGTTTTAAAGAAGACCACCATTGTTGTTGGAAAATATGCAATTTTTTATGTAGTTGCTGAAAATGTTCACTACATGTATGCACAAAATTTACTGTGGTTTTAGACCTGGTTTGATGCTAAATTTTGCCACACTTCCGATCAGTTTTTCTTCTTTTGGGGGAATCGTATTTTTTTTTTTGGATTGACAATTGTGCTAGTTCTTTTCATTTTCTTCACTGGATAATTTTTTCCTAATGCTGTATGTTTGGACTACATGTTCTAAGCTACTCCTTCCGTTCCAAAATATTACTAAAAGTTTTTGTTGGATGAGATATATCCTGATACTATGAATCTCGACAAGTAATATGTCCAAATTCGTAGTGCTAGTATGTGTCCAATCCAACCAAAACTTTTTATATTTTATGATGGAGGGAATATTCCATATACTAAGTATATTTTTAAAATATTTAATTTATCACTATGACGAATAAGGCCATGTTTAGATTCCAACTTTTTTTTCAAACTTCCAACTTTTCCGTCATATCAAAATTTTCTACATATAAACTTTCAACTTTTCCGTCACATCGAACTTTCCTACACACAAATTTTCAACTTTAGAGTCACATCGTTCTAATCTCTTCATACTTCCAATTTTGGTGTGAAACTAAACACAATCTAACCTGTTTCACGCTGTCTTAGTTAATGGCTGCCAGATTAATCCTACATTGACGAATTGATGAGATACTAGTACTACGTTAAACGCTATGGTCATTTGCAGAATACTCCTACTACTCTATCCTAAAAAGAATCCAATCCTAGTAATGAATCTGAACACATATGTGTCTAGGTTCGCTGCTAGTATTGGTTTTTTTTTTATGGAGGGGTACACTTCTAGTACCCCTGGTACGTACTGCTGCTCCTCTTTTGGTTTTGATATGGACCTTTGCATGCATCACTGAATTCTCTTTTCCATCCGCTGAATTTTGTCTGCGTGTAGGTAATGCTCGTCTTTATGAATGTGCAGAATTTTAGGTGAATGGCTGGCTAGTTCAGCTGCTTGGGACATCCAAGAGTAAAGCATCCAAAGGCAAAGTCAGAGCTGTGTCCAGCGAAAAAAAAAAGATTAAAAGACGGGTCGTGAAATTGAAAAGATGAGAAGGAATGAAATGGCAAAAGGAAAGTAAAGCGGGAAGGTCCAAGCTAGGCAGTGTTAGGCTCAGGGTTTTCCAAACCACCGAAACCGGGATTAAGCACGGTTACCGCGCGGTAACCGTATAAAACCGTGTAAAATTTATCAAAAATTTAAATTATTTTTTAAATTTATTTAAATTTAAGGAGGTTACCATGATATTTCTATTACCGTACCTCGCGGTAAGGGCGGTTACCAACGGTAATGTAAACGCTGGTTAGGCCTACCAATTACCTTGCTGGCGATGCAAAGATTTTACTCCAGCTGGTACTCCAGGTAACAACGCTAGATAGGAGTATCAAAGTTGTAGATTCTGGTACAGTACGCGAAAAATTGTCCTGAAAACATATGCTACTCCACTATTCAACTTGTTGTAACGTGGAAACAAAAACAGCAACAGCCTATTCAGGTTGTGTGTTTGTCGATGTTGTTGTGGACGATAAGCGGAGGACAAATTATCATCTGCATTTGGCTAGCTAGCTGTCCGTGCAACAAACGAACTGTAGACCTAACCGATGCTGCTAGGTGATCACTCTGTCAGTCACGGAGACAGACTTGGTTGTTACTCTACCGGTTGTTGGATTTTCTCAACCATCTTTGTGGCAACAGTTCGTTGATAATCATTTTTTTTTCCTTTGGAGAAAAAAAAAAGGGGAAAAAACGCATTCCTACTTTGGTCAAGCACGCTCGTCTACTTGGCGCATGGGCTTAAACGCCTTCGCTGTGGTGAACAGTTGGACGTACGCATGGCGCGAGACGCCGTGGCGTGGCGTGCGCGTGCCGACGCGTGGAGGGCGTTTTCCGCGTGCGAACGAAACGCTCGCTCGTGCGCCGCGGCCGCCGCGCCGCGCGCCGAGGCGAGGCGAGCGAGCAGCCGGCGCGCGTCGCGCGTCGCGGGCGCGTATGCTACGTATGTTCAGTTCGACGCGCGCGTTGCGCGCGCGCACGCCACCTCGTCGGTTTCTTTCCGCGCCACCGCTCGCAGCTCGCCTCGGTGGAGGGGTGGATCTCGGGGCCTATATTTGTTCTCTGACTCCCATATTCGTCCTCGGATTCCTCCTCTCGAGTCCTATATTCGTCCTCTAGGATTCCATATTCATCTTCTAGGGTTTCATATTCGTTCTCTGGAATCCCATATTCATTTTCTAGGGTTTCATACTCCTCCTCTCGAGTCCTATATTCATCTTCTAGGGTTTTACATGAGTCAGCTCAACCCATAGGGCTCGGTTGTTTGAGCTCATTATCTTAACGACTCTGCTCGGTTCGTTAGCGCTAACAAGCTATAAAAGATTAGGTTGGTTTGGAAGCTACTCTTTTTTTTCACATTATAAATTATTTTACATCTTTTGATCAATTTTTTTTAAGTTTGATCAAGTTTATAAAAAATATACTAATATTTTCAATTCAAAAGAAACATATTATCAATATATTTAATATTAACTTTAATAAAACTAATTTGGTATTATACATGTTACTATTTTTTTTATAAATTTGATGAAACATAAAGAATATTGACTATGAAAAAGTCAAATAACTTATAATATAAAACAGAGAGAGTAGCTAGATAAATTCGTTAGGCTATCGAGCTATACCTCTAAGTATATATGAAGACTATGAGTTCAAATCAATCCGAATCACGAGCTTTTAAGTTTTTTTTTGTCCACACCTACCTCGGTGGCTGGCTTGGCTTTGCTTTTTCCGCCTATATTCTTTGCTCCGCCCTGCAAGCAAAGCGGCTTCTCAAATTGCCCATGCATCCGTTTCCACTGGACCTTCTCCTACGCAAATTGCTCATGCATCTGTTTCCACTAGACCGGGCACGTTTTCGCGACCCGTTTTTGGACCGATTCTCTCGTCCGTTATTTTCAGCGAATTTCTCTAGAAACGGCGACTGCGATTCGGGCCGTCCTATTTTTACTCGGTCTGAAACTAAGAAACACATGCATGGACGACGTTGCTAGCTAATACTAATATTTAGTATTACACGGTTTGACACTATATATTCACAACAAATTAAGACGACTGTATATGAAAGCGATTAAA